CTGATGACACACATGTCCATGAGCTTGGTGTTTAGACGCATCTGCCACCTTAACTGCAATTGAATGAGGCTGCTTCTAGGAAGCGCTTGCTTGTAATGTTTGCCCATTGTTAACATGCTATCCCATTTGATTGCTTTAAATTTTTTTTTTTTTTGGCAAGTGATTTTCAGTTTCTTTCACTTTGATTCCTTCTTTTCATCTAGAAGTTTAAGTGATTTAGTTTATCAGTAAAAAGTGTGTAATTTCTCGTTCAGGACACTGTGAGAGCACTAAAGTAACCCACATTTGTCTTTTTTTCTCCTCTCTATAAAGGAGTGGAAAGAACAATATTTAAGGTGATGGTTAAAAATGAAACTCAAGCAAGAGATCTGTTTCTTTATTCTCTGCCTTCCTGTCTTGTTGGCTTCATTCTCTGTGTTTTCATCCTGAATCAAAGTCTGGAGGGTAGCACTCCACCTTTTGGAGCTGCATAATAAATAACAAGTGAATCACCGCTTACAGTGTGATTCTGTGTTCTATAAACAACTTTTGCTAGAAATTATTGTGATGCACAATTGCAAAATGCCTGGGGAGTCTTCGGCATCCAAGCTTCTCTTGCAGAGGTACAACCTATTGTGAAACTCTGGAACATTTTGAAGGAAATATACTACTTTTTGAGTAGAATATCGTATGAAGACATGTGTAATTTGGACTGAAACATCCTTCTGAGTGATGGCTGTGCTGCAAGCAGTGATGCTGTACTCCTGGAATTTATCTTAGCAAGTCATGCGTCTCCTCTTATCCAGGATAACACATGAATACTTCTGAGTGTCCACCCTTTAGATCTGTTTTGAAGTACAGTCTCGAAAGTGCTAAACATTCTTCTATTCTTCCAAGTGCATACAGCATTGAGCACAGGAGCCCTGCCGGGTAGGCCCCGCTCCGTGCCTTTCTAGGCCCACTCTTGCTACTGTTAGGTTTGCTTCCAGCATGAACCTCACACAGTCCGGATGGAAACAGGTCCCTGTGACGCAGTGCGGCTGTGCCAGTCAAACGGTGTACCGTCTGTCCTTGTCATGATCTCACCCTTCCTCTGTCTGAAACGTGTGTACTTAGGATCTTTCACCACTTTTCAGGCATCTGTCAGGGAAGTTTGACAGTGATTCTCTCTCCAAGTGAAATAGAATTGTATTCTCAAGCCCAAATAAACTGCTTCATCGCCATATTTGCTTAATATGTGTGGGGTGCCAAAAACATACGCACTTCTTCATAAAGTAAAAACATTGGTGACATCTCCTTTATCTATTATCTAAATTGCCAAACACGTGTGATTTCCATAGCTACAAAAATGATGACTGCTATATGTTAATAAGAATAGCATGTGCAGTTTCTTAAAAGTTTTCTTACAAGTTCTCTGTAGGATGCAGGAATCTGGGACTTGCAGTGCAAATCCCTGTAATTCCCAGTTTATGTTGTCGTTTTATATTACTCAGTTTTCCTGTAGTTTGAAACAGATGAATGACTAAGGGGGAAAAATGTAGCACGTGTAAGTGCAGAAGACTCAGTTCCATAGGACTTTGGTGTGTGTGGAAATTTTGGAAAGGTAAGACTGTCATTTCCCCCTTCACCTTGTCAGTGGGTACCTGTCGCAATAGCTCTGTAGTGGCAGATGTCATGGGCCCTTATGGACAGGACTTTTGAATTTCACTGTTGGTCTACACCATTTGTTCTTGCCCTGAGTCTAGAAAACATTTCTAAGAGAACAAACTCTTGCCTCAGGGTGTGTGATATGGAGTGACAACATCAGAGCATGGAAACTGCCTTGTCTTCATGCAGTCAACACGAAGTGCTTCATGGTCACGTCTGGAAACTTGTCTTCCAGAAGAACTCTCACCAAGCACTTGTCTTCCACGTCTAACTGCCTAGAGCTGATCCTTAGAAAGGGGTGTAAAGCACTCACAATCACAGCTTCTGGTTGCTGTTTCCTCCATCCTACCTGGTGACTCGCTAGGAAAAGGTTTTTGGGACAAGGACACTGCCACTTGTGCATCAGCCTGCTTGGCTGTGCGTCCGGGCTGTGCCGGCGCGTGACGATGATCGGGTGGTTCAAACCCTCTAGCTCTCAACTGCCTCATCTGGAGAGCAGTGATGATAATAGTGTCCACTTCTTACCAAGATGTGGGGATTAAGAACTGTGCTCAAAATTGAATGCCCTTCTTTAATATTTCATTAATTTTTTATGCAACTAAATTGAATTAAAATGAACTATTAGCTTTGCCTCTGCTTCTAGACCAGTGAACGTCCCGCCTCCTTAAGCTGCTGCAGTGAGCAAAACACACTGCATGATTCTTTGTGAAATAATCTGAATTGTGACTTTTTTTCACATCTGATATGAAATTTAGTCTCATGTAGCCATTTCATAAGACAAATAAGTTTGAGTTTTTTTTTTCCAAGAAAAATAAAATGTGGGAAATTAAAGAACATGTTAAATATGCTGTTATCTGCTAGTACCATCCTTGAAGTAAACTTGAAAACTTTCTCTCTGCATTTGAACAATTTAGATTGGGCCATTTATAACATTAGGTCCTCTAGGGCAGAAAAAAAAATTAAGCAACTTCATTTTCTTTGCACTTTACCCTGGCACTTTCCACTAGGAACTGTTATGAGATCTATTAACATGTATGTAAGTATAAATATGTATGTTATGTCTCATAGCTTCCCTCCTTCAGCAGACTGTGATCACAGCCAATGTCACAATTGAAAAAATAGGAAACAAGCCAAAACCGAGGTTGAAATGTTATGTATATTTTTTATTTATTTATTTTTATTGGAAAGTCAGATATACAGAGAAGAGGAGAGACAGAGAGGAAGATCTTCCATCTGTTGATTCACTCCCCAAGTGGCCACAACGGCCAGAGCTGAGCTGATCCGAAGCAAGGAGCTTCTTCCCGGTCTCCCACACGAGTGCAAGGTCCCAAAGCTTTGGACCATATTCTGCTGCTTTCCCAGTCCACAAGCAGGGAGCTGGATGGGAAGTGGGGCTGCCGGATGTAACTGGTGCCCATATGGGATTCTGGCATGTAGCTGCTAGGCTACTGCACCAATCCTGAAATGTTATTATGTATATTCTTAAATGTTTATGCCAACAGTCTTTCTTGGGGGGAGCACTACAACTTTTTTTTTTTCCCCAGAAGGCATAGATTTTTCCCCATTTTTTTTTCCTTTAATTTGGAATTACCTATCTTTGAAAGAGGGACTGCTCTCTGGCTACCATTTTCACTGCGGACCCTCATTAGCATGATTTTCCAGAGCATCTATTTCATGTTTCTAGCAGCGTTGGGATGCAAGGAGGCCCCAGTGCTGCAGATGGAGAGCTGAGGATGTAACTCGCCATGATAGGTAGCTTGTAACTACTTCCACCTCTTTCTTTGCAGTACTAATTTCACTTACTCCAACTGCAAAGCCAGACTTCTCCAAGGTGAATGGCACCTGCCTTCTGGTGTTATTCCCGTGGCAGGAACCTGGCTTTGACACTGTCTGTTCAGAGTGATTTAATCCACATTGCATTGTTTTTGCAACTTGGAGTTACAGATATTTTTTTTTCTTAAGTTTTATCATTTGTAAATCAATATTTTTATTTCTTCACATCCTTGATTTTATAGCATAATCTTGGGGCAGAAATGTCTTACCTCACCATTTTATTTATTTAGTTCTCAGAAAACTCACACAATGGTATACATTGGTTATTAACAAACCCTGAAGTCTTATAGTTTGATGCAAAAGGAGTTCTTGTCCCATTCCTGTAACATCAGTATGATATGTGTGTGCCTGTCCTCTGTTTGTTAGCTATGGCAACCTGAGTATATGGCCCCTTACAGCGTCTAGAAAGAGAACAGGGTAAAAGAAACAGCACGCAGACTCCTCTGCCTGAGTCCATTAGTGACATACACGGGAAAAGTCAAGGAGTGCATAAAATAGTGTGTGAGCATTAACTTCTCTCCAATTGTCTTTCTAGATTCTTGCTGGACACTTCAGTGTCTTCGCTTGCATCAGCCATGGAATATATTTTTTTTTATTTCAATGAATATTTAAAGTTCATTTTAAATTTAAAAACTAGAATTTATTGCCTGCCTCAACATGTTCTGACACTATGACAGGCCTAAGAATGTGCATAATAAACATTATCCAGGGTCCTCAGAAAGCCTGTGGAAAATGTGTATTATGAAGCAAAATATACAAGCATTGCAATTTTTTTTGTCCCAAAATAAACTTACCTTTTATTTCCGTTGTTTCCATGAGCTTTTTTTATTAATACCTTCGTAGTATATAGTCTCTGCTCTCAAATATTCTTTCATTTAATCTCGTGCTTCACAGTGGCGTCGATCTGATTTCTATCTCATTCTTTCTTAATGTTGATATTGATGAGAGCAATGGTGATAGCTGAAGAGAGACCACATATAGTAATGGACTGATTTGGAACAATCAGGATCTTACATCTCTGTTGTAATTGTGAATATTTATTTCCAAACCTTCTGTAAAATGCTTCCCACTCCCTACATAACTAAAATAAGCGCTTAGAACTTTCTTCTTTATAATGACAACATGTGGAATGTCTAATAACCTTGGTAGCAAAGTGACTGCAAATTCATCTATTTCTTGTGTTATCTTGTGGTTTATTTCTGATGTTCACTGAAGCAGGCTACTAAATTAATATTCATATGAATATGTTCTACTCAAAGTTCCATGGCAAGTCAGATGAAAACATTTAGGAAGAATCTTTATATTTGAGTCAATCTTGCAAATATATCTCATACATTTTTAAAAGCAAATAATTCCTCTGATTTAAAAAGATAACATTTATCTTGGAAACACATGCCTATTGTATCTGCTCTTGTGCAATTCTCTTAAGTGTGTGATTTGAAATGCTTATACAGAGGTGCACCTCATTTTAATATTTGCATTCTGAGAATGTTAATTAATTTTTAATGATGTTTGGTACCCTGATGATTTTTTTTTTCCAGAGTACCCGTGTGGCTTTGGACCATCTGGAGTCTGTGCCTGAAAAACTGAGCCTCCTGGAAGATTTCAAAGACTTCAGAGTGAGGAAGAGTTGGCTTGTCTCTTTTAGTGTATTTGCCTGAATGAGAAAACTTGACTTCTTCCTGATGTGCCGAGAACAATTCTAGGGAGACAGGAATGAACTGTTAATATTTCATCTCATCAGAGTTTATTAACATTGTGAGGTCACAATTGAGAATAGCAAAACTTCTCTATTATACAAAGAGAGACATTTTCTACTATTGGAAGCCCCATTGTTCCTCTAAATCTATTAGAGTAATTCAGAAATGCCTGAAAAATAGGAGTTACACATTGCATTGATATTTAACTTTTTTGATTTGCAAGTTGATTTGCAATGAGTTCCTTTTAATATTTTTAAGAACTTGCTGGAGCACTCCTGGTTTTATAGTTAGCAGATTTAGCAGATTTTACTATGATCCACGAATTCAGATCTACATAGTTTTCGATTTCCTATCCTATATTGTTTGTTGCTACAACTCTAATCACAACACATGCCTGTTACCATGCCTGTTACCTGCATATGTGGGTTTACATCTGTAAATGTCAGAGACCCTCATAGATGTGAGAGGTGCAAAGCTTGTCAGACAGGAAACATATATTTGCATATATTTGTGTAAAGTGCAGTGCAAGCAGTTTCTAATTTTGAGGAATTGTTTTTTAAACAGAAAGAGAGCTTTCATCTACTGGTTCACACCCCAGATGCCCGCAGCGGGCTGATCCAAGCGCACACACCAGACAAAATATTTTCTTGGATAGTTTCTCTTTTGTAAAATGAGGATTTGAACACTGTTATCTTTGTAATTTCTGCTCACATGAGCTGGTGTCACTAATAACATATGCACAGACATATTGCACATTCCTCGTGTGTGCTTTTCCTGTGAGCTCCTTGACGAGCCCAAGTAGAAATTCTATATAGACATGGATTTGACGGTTTTTATGTTGAGTATGGTTATCTTGAACACCTCATCTCATCCCCCTTCACTCTCTCCTTTTTTGAACCTCATTTTGAAACAAGGAGCTGTATTTTACAACCCCACACTTAGACATGATATAATTGATGCTGTGGACAGGTGGAGCCATGAGATGACAAGCCCCAGTCAGCCACAAATTGCCTGCTTCTGGAAAAAATGTTTTCAAGTTTCTTGGGCTGTAGGGATTTGTTTGGTTTTGTTTTTAAATAAAAATTGAAAGTATGGAATTCTAATCGTTTTTCCAAGTTGAATATTCAGGAAGCTTAGGCCTGGGGCTCCTGGGGCTGTTGATGATACTGAAGCCATTGATGGTTTTTCTTACGTACCAAAATTGTTATCCTCATTTTTCCTATGTTCTCCATAAATTATAAAATAATTATCTGAACAATTGGCTGTGGGTGGAAGTTGTGCTATATTCCTTAATCACCCAAATAATTAAGGGGGGAAAAAGAAGAATAGCCCTGGAAATCTTACTTAATTTCTTGTTTTAACAGAATCTTTTTATGCCTATGAAGGCATATGGGATACTCTTAAGTTTAAACTTTTTCTGTGGTAGAATGTTGAGGGTAAGCAAAGTAACAGGGCTTAGTTTTGAAGCCCTCTTTTTTTCTTTTTAATGCCAAATATACAGTGTTTAGTTGTAACACAATATCATTAATGATCATCTTTGGACAATTCAAATACTTTTTCCTTCACCTGTAGGGTGTTACTCATTTCACATTGCTTTGGGAACTAGTTGAGGGAAAAAAAATCCAAAAACCATGTGGCACTTGTTTTGTTTTTATGGTAGCATGCACACTAGCCTTCCGGGTTTATTTTTCCCCTTATTTGTATCTCCAAGTGCCTTTTATTATTTATGATATGCATACTGATATTTTCTTACTGTGGTTTCAAGCACTGGTTTCTTTCTTACTGGGTTACATCCTTTCTTGTCTTTCTAGGGTTCCCGCAGTTCATCCGAGAGAATTGATGCCAGATACTCCAATTCCACAGCTCCCAGAGCTTCTCCTCAGCAGTGCCGAGATGATACCAAGTACAGAATCAAAAGCTTCAAAGTAATGTCCTTCACACGCACACACACGCGTGTGTACATATATATATGCATATAAAATATTTGAGTATTATTCACATTTAAGTCTACTACCTGTTAACTGGTTCCTTTAGGATTTGTGTAAATGCACTTGTGGAAGAAAATTTTCCTAATAGATGCACTAGATTTTGCAATTCCATGGGATTAGAGATAAAAATCCAGATTGTGCTTATAACTTTTTGCTTGGAAACCAAGCCTTAATTTAGCCCATGCCAATTTTGCTCAGCATGTTGTTTGTCTATGGGAATCAATGCTGCTTAAGAAATCTTGAGCCAGAAACCCCTAATCACTTGGCTGGCCAGTGTGGATGCCCATTCTCCTCTGGTGTCAGTCGAGCACTGTCACACTGAAGTTCCCAGCAAGTCAGATATATATGCTGCTCGGTAAACTCATCTCCACGTTCTGTTCATTCTTTCTTTGGGGATATGAACTCCATGCTAATATTTCAGCTCATTGTTCATTAACATGGAGCCAACATTGAAGGCTGGGAAGATTTGATCATACTGATGTGAAGGAGACAGTTTCCTAAGGCCTGACCAGCATTCATCCAGGAAAAAAATCCATTTGTTCCTGCATTGTTAGCCTGGAGTGGAGTTTCTCAGCTTCAGCATTTTGACATCAGGGCCAGATAACTCTTTGTTGTACAGACTTAGGCATTGTTGCAGGGTGTTTAATAGCATCTCGGGAGTGCACCCACTGGATGCCAATAGCATCCTTCTTCACTGGTTTTGACACCCAAGTATGTGCCCAGACATTGCCAGATGTCTCCTGGAGGGCAAAATTACCCCACACTGAGAACACTGACCTAGAGAAAACCCATCTATATTTAACTATGTTTTCAAAGGCAATGAAAAGACAAAAGCTAATGACTTTTTTTACATTCCTACAAACTTTTTTATATGTGTATGAATATTCATTACATTGTATATTCACTTCTTACAGCCTAATATAATTATTTCTAAAAAGCTTCTTCCCTCCTCTGAATTTAATTGGATAGTATGCCCAATGGATATTAAAACAGCCCAGTTTTCCATGAGTCCTCCTTAGCATTCTGAAAATAAGCACTCCTCCTATCCAAACCCCAAACTAGCACAGTGTGCCAATTAACTGATACTTCACTGCAAGGGGGCAACTTGTGCATTTGTTCCATTTGACTTTTATATGCTATCATTGATTGTTATCATAACCCAACAAGAAATACAAGATTTAACCAACATGAGCTTAATGATGGACAGATATTACAGAAAATTCACTAAATTGCTGTTTTTGTAGATGTTGAGTGTCATATGCATTATCATGTTTAATTCTCAGAAATTATATCATATTGGCATCATTTATTTTTCCTCTTTAGCCACTGAAAATGGCAAGAACATGTTCATTTGGTAGAATCAGTATCAAAACCTAAATCTTCCTATTGCGTAATGAATTTAGACCTAAACGATATTAGTTTCTCTAGAAGTCACCAAATATACTGCTGTATTTTTAATGTGTAAAATTCCACTTTCTGAAAAATACATGACTATAATACATGCCCATTAGTTCAACAGAGGACTTGATTCAAATGTAACATTTAAAACTTTACTTGCATTTCCCAGTACAGTTAGAGTTTGGTGTCAGGTGAATCTGTACTATCTTAGCAGCACTCAGATTACTATAAATCGCTGAAATTTCCATAACTTTATGTGGCAAAGCTATGAATGTTTAACATGTTTGGCAAGCAGTCTCATTGGATTTCTTTTTAAAATTACATTTGCAGCTGAAGAGAAAATCAGGCCTAGTTCATAAGGCAAGCCACCACTTGGCAAAATGATAAATAAGTTTGAAAATTTCCAAACAGGTATTGTACGGGTAGGGTAGGGCCCCCCCCAAGCAAACTTGGTTGTACCATTTTTCTACACTAATACTGTTAATCCTTTAAAGTCATTGATCCATTTCTGCAGTGAATTTATTGACTGTCACCATACAAAGCACATACATAACCTAATGTAACACTGAATGCATGGAAATATGACCTTTTTTTGTAGTCATGGGAGAGAAAATATGAGAACACTTTTTTGGCACGCTGCAGACACTAATAATAATTTGCTCACAGAGATTCTATGTTAATAAGTTCTATGTAAAGAAAGAAGGGGGCAGCTTTCAAGGAAGAATTAGCTCAGGTGGACTGTGAGACCGCTGTGTTAAACATTTCTTAGATTTGAGGACAATCAAAAGCGCTAACTCTGGTTAACCACCACCATCCTAAAGAAAAGACTTAAAGGAAGAGAAGTTAGAACTCTTGCTGTTGAGAGAGAAGGGTCCCAGTTCTTCATTTCTTCCACAGTCACTAGATTCCCCCACACTTTGCAGAGTTCAAGGAACAGGCACACTGCAGGGACTTGGATTCACCAATTTGATTGAAAAGTGAAGTTTCAGGAAAGCAGTGTAGGATTCCGGTTAGCTCTACAGGCATCTATTGTGCAACCACTGCATCGCAAAACACTGCCTGGCTTGTTAGGACCGGGTACAGGAGTTGAGGTGGAAGACTGAGACAGCCTGGTCTTCAAATAGGAACTGGTTACTTGGTCATCTTAATTCTAGCAGTTAATTCTTGCACATGTATTCTAAAGCAGAGATCAGCAAACTGCTCAGGGGCCAAATCTTGCCTGCAGATGTTTTTATAAGAAACTTTTATTGGAATGCAACCACACTTATTTATTCAAACATTGTCTATGGCTGCTTTTGCATCCAACAAAAGTTGAGAAATTATAACAGAAACCATATGGTACAAAACCTATGGCCCACCATAGAAATAAAGCTTGCCAGCCCTTGTTCTAGAGCAAGAAGAAAATAACAATTTATTCTTTCTTTTTTCACACATTATATCAAATATTTCCTTTTCTTCATTTTTCTGGCCAAATAAATACAGTCCAAATTTACCAAACAAATATTGTTCTCCTTGGAAAGTCATACTACTTATTTATTCAGTCAATAAATACTTTTTGATTGCTAGCTCACATACTTTCCAAGCACAAGGGACTCGCACAAGTGAGCCTTGTTGGAACTTCTGTTCTAATTGGAGGACTGTCATATTTGTTGTCTTTCTGAATGCACCATTCAACAGATATTCATTATATTTCTACTTAATACTTGAGGCACTGATCAGGAGAATGATGTTAAGGAGGAAACCGCATTGGCAACTGCTAGAAATTTCAAGACTTCAAATAAATAGCTATAGTGCAAAGGAGAGAGAGAAATGCCATGAAGGTGCCCTCAAGAAGCTGCATTGGAGGTTTGGAGAGAAATACTCGAGACTCTGTTGAAAGGAGGATTGTGATGACAAGGTGCAGGGAAGTGTTTCATCCACAGCTCTGTTTGCAAGGGGACCTTTAGAAGCGTTTTCAGTTGTACGAACCCTGTGTGACTGTTGACAGACAAATAACTGCTGGAAAGCAGAACTGTGTCGGCAGCTGGCTTCTCTCATGTTGTTGCTATTGTCAGAAGGCAATGAAACTTCTAACATGACCACACTGCTGGTGGAGGGCAAGGGTGAGCAGGAAGTGGGCAAGTCAGGTTTGCTTTCCTTCCAAGACTAGAGCTGATCTCCTGCTGCTCATTCCTGTGGCAGCCACCAGGACAGAAAGATCAGATTGCTAGAAATGTGTCAAAATTTTGAACAGGACCCGTGCCCACAAATGTGAGAGCATAATATAATATTGCACTAAACTGCCTGAGCTAATTGGACAAGATTGAGCTAAAAGTTAATATTTGGAGAAGAATTTAAAGCTAAATAGAACATATTTTTGTTGTCTGTCTGTGGACAACAAGAGCATTTCATGGCCTTTGTCTCTCTCTCCCTCTCTCTCTTTCTCTCTCTTCAAGCCTAATTGGGTTTCAGTGGGACGTTCAGTCTTCTGTCCCAGCTGTTTCAAATGGAACAGAATGTCCACCAGTCAGCCAGTAACAAAGCATTGCTAATTTGAATTCACGGAGATGTGTGGTTTTCTCCAAAAAAAAAAAAAAAAAATCCCTAGTGGTTACCTTTGCTCATATAAACTATATGGTTTTAATTACCATTGGAATGTTTTACCAAACACACAGAAAACAGGTTTTTTCCCATCCTTCCTCCACAAGCAGAAAAACTATAAGCTCTAATTTTTTAAGTTAGTACACATCTTTTTTTTTTTTTTAAGAGAAACAGATGTTTCACAGATGAGATGAAGTAGGTGAGGAAGTGTTGCTGATGGCTTGCAGTAGAGTTTATGAAGACAGAGACTGCCAAAGCCCTTTGTCATATTTGCTCAGAGTGAGCACATGGTGGTAAAATTAATGTTTTCTTCCTCATGGAATCCCTCTTGTGATTTGGCCACTAATGGCTAAAGCTTTTTCTCCCAAGTCAGCTACTTCTCTCTGAAATCGACAACAGTAGCTCCTAAAATGCGTTGTGAAACAACTTAAAATTATAGGTGTTGTGCAAACATTTTTATTTTTTAAATAATGAATTCATCTTATTTTGATGATGTTGATGTAAGTTGAGAGGAACACACACCCACGTGGACCATCGATTAGGGTGGGGAGAGTTGAGGAATGAGGGAAAGTGGACAAGACAATGAGGGAAAGTGGACAAGACAACTTCTAATATTGGCAAAGTGGGGAGAAAAGGTGAGAGGGCCGCTTCCACCAGCCCTACTGCATCAGCACCCAGGAATGGGAGAAGGCCACACAATGTCATCCCAGAGTCCCCAATGTGGAACGTGTTCCGAGGACGCTGCCCAAGTGGTTTCTATGCCACTGATTTTGTTGTTCCGTGGTTGAGGAAAGCCTTCCAAGTTCCACTGGCTGACATATTCCATGTTAGAATCTTCACTTGGCCAGAAATTCAAGGTCAAAGCTTGTCCAGGAGATCTATCTAGTTTGTTCTTCCCTACATGGTACTAGACATCCTCTGCAGGTCTTAATGAACTGGCTGTCATGTCCCCCATGAGC